GAGGGCAACGAAAATTAACGCTCCGATTTCACACCAAAAAAATGCTTACCGGGTTTTACCCAGTGACCGATTTTTCACATTTTGTGCAGTCAATCGGTACGAATGAACGAACGCCAGGGAGGAGTGGTGAAGGGGACACAGTGGCATTGCTCACCGCGCCACTAACTTCAGCAGCTACGCGTTCAATTCCATGGCCGTGGTTAACGCAGTTGAGGAGTCAACTTTTTTCAGTTCATTTATATATTGGTCGACGTTTGCGCTACGCAGTTGATCTGTCCTGCGACAACGGTCATTCTCTTTTCTCCCGTTCCCATCTGCGGCATTCCAGAACTTTATTCAGCTACAACACGTAGGCATTCGTGACCAATATCACCCGGGTGTTGGCGGGTTCAACGACAATTATATTGACGAGATCTAAACCAAAAAATCCTCTTGTGGATTTACTTAGTTTTTTCATCTTGTCGATGCGACCCGGATCACCTCTTGCACTCGCGTCGTTCCGCTAAGTCAGCCCGCCACACTTTGCGGAATAAAAATCCTCTGCACGCAGGATGAAGGTACCTGGTAGCTGGTGCGATGAAAATTATGATTCACGGCATCACTTAAAGTGCCCTGCAGACACAATCACAGTTTTGCGGATTGCTCTACGCACGCACGCTGAACTTCTTTCGCACCATACTCTTTGGTTCTATTCGGTAAAGTCGCGTAGGTAAAAGACGTGACTTTACCGAACAGAACCAAAGAGTATGGATCCTTGCAGTCACGAAAGCTTCAAATCTAGAATTCTTTCGCACCACCGGCACGTAACCAACCACGCCAATTGGAGGTTGTGGGGGGGACAACACTAAACACAACAAGCAGTTCTAAAGACACGAGTTTGTCAAGCTTAGATGATGATTTAAAAGTGCATCGCAGCTCCCAGTGGCCAACCTCATATTCGGAAGAGCATTCCAGACAGAATGCGTCACAGGGTCGGGATGGAAACCACAAGCTCCTGCATACCAGGCGAGGCAGTTAACATTGCCTATGGGTACCTGTGCAAGCCTGTGTCTCACTGAGTGTATGGGGTATTTGAGCAAATCTGCGGGTCCCTGTGTGAGTCTGTTGGAACCTGTGCTAGCCGAAACCTCTCTCCGCGTGCAGGGGTTCGCACTACGCTGCGCTACGAACCCAGGAACAAGAGTTCGATACCTGCTCAAGGGCACCAGCACCAGTGACGATTATCTGAACTGGTCCTGGGGCTCCTGTTGGTCAAGGCCTCAAATGAGTACCTGGTGCGGTGTGTAAACATCGCCGCTGGGGAGACAAAGGCGGCCGGGCGTGGTGCTGGCCACCCACCCCCTCGTATGCTGTGCCGGCCTTCATAAGTGCTTGCTAACAGCACTTTCCGGAACAATTTGTTCAGGCTATAATGGGTATCTTTGCCTTTTGAGTGAGTGTACAAGTCTAGGATCTATGCACACGTATTTGCGTTTATCTGTGAGTTAATGCCACTGTGCAAGTTCTATGGGTCACTGTGCAAATTCTGTGGGTGGCAAGTTCTATGGGTCTCTGTACAAGTTCTATGGGTCTCTGTGCAAGTTCTATGGGTCTCTGTGCAAGTTCTATGGGTGGCAAGTTCTATGGGTCTCTGTGCGAGTTCTATGGGTCTCTGTGCAAGTTCTATGGGTCTCTGTGCAAGTTCTATGGGTGGCAAGTTCTATAGGTCTCTGTGTGAGTTCTATGGGTCTCTGTGCAAGTTCTATGGGTCTCTGTGCAAGTTCTATGGGTCTCTGTGCAAGTTCTATGGGTCTCTGTGCAAGTTCTATTGGTCACTGTGCAAGTTCTATGGGTCTCTGTGCAAGTTCTATGGGTCTCTGTGCAAGTTCTACGGGTCACTGTGCAAGTTCGATGGGTCTCTGTGCAAGTTCTATGGGTCTCTGTGCAAGTTCTATGGGTCACTGCACAAGTTCTATGGGTGGCAAGTTCTATGGGTCACTGTGCAAGTTCTATGGGTCTCTGTGTGAGTTCTATGGGTCTCTGTGTGAGTTCTATGGGTCTCTGTGCAAGTTCTATGGGTCTCTGTGCAAGTTCTATGGGTGTCAAGTTCTATGGGTCTCTGGGCAAGTTCTATGGGTCTCTGTGCAAGTTCTATGGGTCTCTGTGCAAGTTCTATGGGTGGCAAGTTCTATGGGTCTCTGTGTGAGTTCTATGGGTCTCTGTGCAAGTTCTATGGGTCTCTGTGCAAGTTCTATGGGTCTCTGTGCAAGTTCTATGGGTCTCTGTGCAAGTTCTATTGGTCACTGTGCAAGTTCTATGGGTCTCTGTGCAAGTTCTATGGGTCTCTGTGCAAGTTCTACGGGTCACTGTGCAAGTTCGATGGGTCTCTGTGCAAGTTCTATGGGTCTCTGTGCAAGTTCTATGGGTCACTGCACAAGTTCTATGGGTGGCAAGTTCTATGGGTCACTGTGCAAGTTCTATGGGTCTCTGTGTGAGTTCTATGGGTCTCTGTGTGAGTTCTATGGGTCTCTGTGCAAGTTCTATGGGTCTCTGTGCAAGTTCTATGGGTGTCAAGTTCTATGGGTCTCTGGGCAAGTTCTATGGGTCACTGTGCAAGTTCTATGGGTCTCTGTGCAAGTTCTATGGGTGTCAAGTTCTATGGGTCTCTGTGCAAGTTCTATGGGTCTCTGTGCAAGTTCTATGGGTCTCTGTGCAAGTTCTATGGGTCATTGTGCAAGTTCTATGGGTCACTGTGCAAGTTCTATGGGTGGCAAGTTCTATGGGTCTCTGTGCAAGTTCTATGGGGGGCAAGTTCTATGGGTCTCTGTGCAAGTTCTATGGGTGGCAAGTTCTATGGGTCTCTGTGCAAGTTCTATGGGTCTCTGTGCAAGTTCTATGGGTGGCAAGTTCTGTGGGTCTCTGTGCAAGTTGTATGGGTGGCAAGTTCTATGGGTCTCTGTGCAAGTTCTATGGGTCTCTGTGCAAGTTCTATGGGTCTCTGTGCAAGTTCTATGGGTCTCTGTGCAAGTTCTATGGGTCTCTGTGCAAGTTCTATGGGTCTCTGTGCAAGTTCTATGGGTCTCTGTGCAAGTTCTATGGGTCTCTGTGCAAGTTTTATGGGTCTCTGTGCAAGTTCTATGTGTCACTGTGCAAGTTCTATGGGTCTCTGTGCAAGTTCCATGGGTCTCTGTGCAAGTTCCATGGGTCTCTGTGCAAGTTCTATGGGTCACTGTGCAAGTTCTATGGGTCTCTGTGCAAGTTCTATGGGTCACTGTGCAAGTTCTATGGGTCTCTGTGCAAGTTCTATGGGTGTCAAGTTCTATGCTATGGGTCTCTGTGTGAGTCTATGGGTCTGAACATGAGTCTATGGGTCTCTGCGCAAGTCCGTGAGCCCGTGTGTGTGTGTGTTCAAGCGCTAATCTTTGGGGTAACAAGTCTACTGGCTCAGAGAGCCTCTTTGGGTCTCTATGTAAGTCTACAGGCGTCGATGTTGCGTTGTGTGGGGGCAATCCAAGTATTGGCCGTTTTCACCCGCACTTATTTAAACGCAAGGTCAAAGCCTCGTATAGTTTATTTTTAGTCTCAGCGAGACCTCTCTCACTCGCCCTTGAAGAGCTAATAAATGATATTAAAGGCAGACACGTCTCGCTGGTTCCTTTAGACACAAGGCAGAGAGAGAGAGATCCATCAATATCACCACCACGATCACCACCATCGTCAGCAACCCCAGCACCACATCATCACCATCGAAACAAAGACAAAGATCCCCCGTGTAGCCTTAACAGACTGTTGGGGCAGGTGATGTTAGCGAGTAGCACCACCTATGAAGGCCGGCACGGCACACGAAGGGGTGGGTGGCCAGCACCACGCCCGGCCGCCTTTGTCTCCCCAGTGGCGATGTTTACTACGCACCGTAACAGGTACACATTTAAAGCTGGATACACACACACGAACACACACAGAAGTACACACACAGGAATAAACACACGAATGCACACACACACGAATACACACACAGACACACACAGGTACACACGAATACACACACAGGTACACACACACAAATAGGTACACACACACAGGTACATACACACACATGCGAACACACGCACAGGTACACACGAATACACACACAGGTACACACACACAGGTACACACACACACACAGGTACACACGAATACACACGAATACACACACAGGTACACACACACAAACAGGTAGACACACACAAACAGGTACATACATACACAAATACACACACAGGTACACACACAGGTACACACACAAGTACACATACACATACGTAAATACACGCACAGGTACACACAAGTACACACACACGTACTACACGTATACAGACACGTACACGCACAATGTCTACACATATCTACGTGCACACGTGAAAACAAAGACAAATGTCCCCCGTGTAGCCTTGACAGGCTGTAGGGGCAAGTGCTGTTAGCGAGTAGCAGCAGCAGTTATGAAGGCCGGCACGGCACACGAGGGGGTGGGTGGCCAGCACCACGCCCGGCCGCCTTTGTCTCCCCAGTGGCGATGTTTACTACGCACCGCCCCGGGTACTAATTTGAGGCTGAGTCGACCTAGGGGAGACCGAGTCGCACACACAGCCACGCACGGCGCGCTCACAGAGGCAAGACGAACAACCCGCAACAACAACAACTAAATGTAAACCCCATAAACAAAACACAACATTAAAAATAATCGCGAAGACCCACCGGGGTGTACACACGCGCACAGACGCACGCACAGAACCGCGACTTTGAGACCCCGGCTCGGCGTTCCGGCCCCTACCGGCCGAGGCGCGCCCTGCCCGGCACGAGGCGCTATCCGAGCGCCGTGGTCTCATCGCGGCCTACGTAGCGGCCCGAATAGCGGGGACGGTGATTAACGAGGCGGGCCTGATGATGATGACGACGAAGACGATGATGATGATGAAGACGATGATGATGAAGACGATGATGATGAAGAAGACGATGATGAGGTGGAGGCGGCGACTCACCCAACAGCTTCTTCACCTCGTCTTCGCTCATGAAGATGTTCACGGAGCACTCCACGGCGAGCACCGACAGAAGAAGCGACACGACCGGGAGGAGGTGGAGATGGTTGACCATGGTAGCACGAGGACCTCCTCCCCTCCTCCTCCTCGTCGTCTCCTCGTCGTCGTCTTCTTCTCCACCTCGTACCTCTTTTAGTCTTCGCCCCACCACCACCACCACGCTGCTGCTGCTGCTCCCTGGGGCTCGCTGTGCTCCTCGCCGCAATCTCTTCACTCTCCTCCTGCTCCTCCTCACCACCTCGTTCCCTCCTCACCACCTCGTCCCCTCCTCACCACCTCGTCTCGTCCTCACCACCTCGTTCCCTCCTCACCACCTCGTCCTCTCCTCACCACTTCGTCGTGCTCTTCACCTCCTCACCACCTCCTCACCACCTCGTCTCCTCCTTCTCCTCCTCACCACCTCCTCACCACCTCCTCACCACCTCCTCACCACCTCCTCACCACCTCGTCTCCTCCTCACCACCTCGTCTCTCTCCGCCCTCGCTGTGTCTGGACGAGTTTTGTTGTTTGAAGTCTCCCAGGAGGAGGGGGGAGGGAACCGGGTCCTCGTGGATCCGGGTCCTCGTGTCTGGCTCACGATTATCGCAACACCACGATATATATCGTACGATACCACGATATATATCGTACGATACTACGATATATATCGTACGATACCACAATATATATCGTACGATACCACGATATGTATCGTACGATACTACTGTATATATCGTACGATACTACGATATGTATCGTACGATACCACGATATATATCGTACGATACTACGATATATATCGTACGATACTACGATATATATCGTACGATACTACGATATATATTGTACGATACCACGATATATATCGTACGATACTACTATATATCGTACGATACTACGATACTACGATATGTATCGTACGATACCA